AAGTTGCTTATTTTGAAATTTTTGGGTTGAGTATAATAATTTCTAAATATAGATGGGTTTAATTTCAATTATATACATCTAAAATATATTTAAATTAAATTATGAATATATTTTATGTTTAATTTTTTAATTATATATTTTTAAAATGCTATTTATTAATAGAGATGAACTTTAAAAATTTATGATCTGAATCTATATTTTAAATTTACATATTTATCATGAATTTATTTAAACTTTTAAGTTTAACAACCTACTTTCATTGTGTGAATTTTGCTTTGAAATAAAGCCCATCATATGTTCAATGTACTATATAATGTAAAGGAAAATTATTCGTCTGTGCTTTGTCATAATATTTTTTATTTTTTAAAATTTGATGTTGATCTTCGCTCTATCTTCCCATTAGCACGATCGACAACATTTAGCTAATCGAATTGGTTTTACTTGTAATTTTTGTGTTGCAATAAATTTTATTTTCACGATCAATCTGGACTTCAAAAATAAATTTTACAGACAACTAAAGTATTCGCTTGTCATTATTTTTTGTCTTTTACATGATGTTTGTCTTCCCTTTATCACTCTCCATCAACTGAAGGATAATGATAGTGTTTTTCTCTTACTAATAAAATAATGATATGTAATTGAGATAGTGGCTCACGACCGAACAGAGAAGTTTAGAAATAGTTCCTTAACCGCAACTTTAGGGCTGATTTGAAAACTTTGATTGTAAGTTGTTCCCTTGGTTGATGGTAAATAATCAAGTTTTAAGACAACCAACGAAATCAAATAATTAAACTTATATAAAAATCCACAGGAGAACAAAAAAAAAAAAAAAAGACACCAATCCAAAGCGACTGTTCTTGCAATGAAGACGATGAACAGTGAAAAATATAAAATGAGTACTGAAAAATTAACTCAAGAATTTTAATTCCAATCACAGATTATAATCGTATTTTAAAATTTTAAAATCCTTAATCATAAGTAGTGTTTTTAGATGGCACAATGGCATCAAATATTCATGGGTATGCGTGGGGTGTGATGAAATTTATCTTTAGTGGAAGAGGAGTATTAATTTAAAGTAAATAAAAATAATTTAGATGTACTTGAGTATCTCAAATCAATCAACATTTAGAGGAAAATGCAAAAGATAGCAACAGACACTATGAGTGTGCGTGACAAAGCTTAATAGGACCAAATTAAATGTTGCATGATTGATGATGCTCTGAGAGAAAGTGAAAATGAGCATGGGTTAGCAACTCCAACACGGGCTTTTAATCAACAGTTCGATCTCAAAGAAAGAACTCGTACGTGCGACTTCAACTTTAATGTCGAAAACCACCATATTAAATATTAATTAATTAACCACTTCTCCATGGATTTCCTTTGCTTGATGGCTGCTTCCGAATCGCTCTCTGACATTTCAAAATCGTTTTGTTCGATGACGAGCTAGCAGCTAGCCACCTCTGTTTATGAGCACGTGTGTTGCAATACGCATACTCACTCATCATCCCTCCCTAATTTGGATTGGTTTTTAGTATTGAACGTTAGTATTTCGTTATTACAAAAAATTAAACATGGTACTGAAAAAAAAAAAGTAGTGGATGTTGTTGGCCACAATGTAAACTACAATCAATAGGCCGCAACCATAAACCGAACTTCCTTGAGAGTCAGGTTCACAATCCCACGTTTCTGCAAATGCAGCTATTTCAGGAAAAAAGAAAACACGTATTTAATTTTGTATGGTGTTTGAGAAATTACGAGTTTCATATTATTAAGCGATTAGACTTAATAAAAACACAATACAACCTAAAAAAAGGGAGTTTTGTATAAGTCAAGCATATTAAATAGTCAAACTTCTAACGTTTTGGTTTTAGGATACAAAAAGTGACAAGGTTAGCTCCAAGTCTTAGGCAGTTTTTGGCTTCTCTCTCTCTCTCTCTCTCTCTGGGGTAAAAGACAGCGGTGTTTGGCTTCTTGAAATTTAACAAGATGGTCCACTCTCATGGGCCGGCCGATGCTAACTAAGTTCAACAATAGGCCCAAACTACATCATGTTCGGCCATAGCCCACAAGGCCATGACCTTAAAATATTCATTTTATAATTTTGCCTGTCTCTTCCCCCGAAATCTCTTGACTAAAATGTGACCAATACGTATTTTTCTTACTTGTAAATTAAATTGTATCTATTTAAACCATGCACCTTCTATGTTCACGGAAGAGAATCACAGTTTATTGTATCTTGATGAATTGATAGGATAACAAGTATGTGAAAAGTTATAAATAAGTCTGGACCTTATTTAGTTTATTCTTAACCAAAACAGAAAACCAATGATTTATTCATTTCACTATTGCTCGTATTATGTTGTGATTTATTGGTGTTTAAATGTGCAGGGCTTAGTACTATTTTGATTTTAATAAGGTCAAAACTGGATTTCACTATTGTTATTTGTACTATTTAAGAATCCTTGAGTTTTATTTACACGAATAAAATGAGCTAGATGGGTTACATGTGAAATCAACAAATGTTGCGTCATGGGTTATTTTAATTATTCTTTTGACTTTAATTCCCCTTCTCTTATTGGTCAACAAAAAATCCCCGTTCTTCAAAATTAACGAGGTGTGTCTACAGTCTAGAATTAGAAAGGTACGGTAATTCCCCTTTTAAAATTGACATATTTTGACCAACTGAGAATTTTACATAATAACCTTATCATGAATGTGTTTGAAATTGCATTGGATCATCTTTTGTACTTTTATCAATAATCCATTAACTATGTCATTTTTTATTGACATGACATATTTTTTATCTAAGTTAATTTATCTTTGAATTTTTTTTTAAAAGCATTGGGCATCATATATAATAAGAGAGCCATTTTTCTCCTAAACCACTTTCTAAAAGAATAAAAATTCCCTCCGTTTCTTGAAGGAAAGTATAAGAGGATAAATGCACTTTAACTAATAGTTATATTCATTATTCATAATAAATTTTTCACAGAGATCCTAGTCTTTCTCAAATTAGTCTCCATTGATAACACAACATCTAAAGCTCCTTTACCGATGGATTTGTGAGTATAAACTCAATTAGGAGTTTAATTTTATCCCCTGACATTAGATATATGAATTTTCAGTGCCTTGACATTATCTCGGCTAAGAGTTTCCCCACATTTGAATTTTTTTAATATATTTTTTCTCCTTCTTCCCTCCCTCTCCTTTCCCTCCGTCTCTTTCTCTCCTCTCTCTCCTCCAAATTTGCAACGTAGGATATGTAGACTGACCTTATTGAGCCCTTTAGAGATCGCTGAATCGTGATGAAAATCAAGCTTACGCACATGCTACCATCTTAACAGCTTTCATCAAGTTCTTCATGATTCCCACAGAAAATCCAAGAAGCTTCCACTTGGTAGCTTTAGGTGGCCCTTCATGGGAGAAAGCTAAGAGCTCATCTTCTTTGACCATGAAGTGTTTATAAGACATAGAATGCAGCACCACTCTTCCAAAATATTCAAAACCTATCTCTATATATGGCCAACCCATCGTCGTCCTCTATGGTCTTTCCGGCCACAAATTCATCACTTCTAATGAAGTCATCAGGTCCTTAGCTTAAGAAGATGAGGCTCGGCTCTGAGACCCATTATACGGCAATAACTCAACCTATGATGAAACCCTGTAGAGAATGAAAGGTTGCTTTTCACGAAGGAGATCGAATCGATCAAATGCTCTTCATTGTGATGAAGCCTCTATACCATGACAATCAATGGTCGAACAAATAGTTTCTTCAACACCTTCGTCATGAGAGCAGGTGACCTTCATGTAGACAGAAGCTTTTGCTCTCACCACTAATGACTTGAAGGCGACTTTTATGTAGACAGAAGCTTTTGCTCTCACCACTAATGACTTGAAGTTTGTCACTTCCCAATTCCCTGCAATGAAGGACATGGGTTACGCGTTTCATGTTGGAATATTTATTTAATTATGAATTAACATTAATTAATAAGTTTAAATAGATTGATCTTTATGATCTTGTGTGAACCATGATAGGAGGACCACACAAGTGAGCTCAATGAGTAGAGGCCTAACCCACAACCCAATAACCGTTAATTATTCTTTATCTCTTAATTGACTGAGTCAGAGATAATAAGATATATAATTATTTATTATTTAATAAGGCAGTTACTGATCTGATCTACATAAGACGATTAGTCAATAATCGCAAATACACGACTCATTCTTCTACTTCCATTATCTCTGAACTCTCTGAACGCTTTGGGCACTTGTGGGTTGTGTACCTGCCTACACTCGAGGTAATTGAGATTTTTCAAGCACTCATGGATTCTTCAGGTACGCATACATTACTTTATTTATTTATATGAATTGAGATATACAGTTATAACATTTCATACAAGTAGCTTGGCATCACCACCTCAGGATGAAGATTGCGAAATCATCATGAGAAGAAGAAGCAGCGGCTTTGGCAAGTGATTAAGCAACCAAAGAGAGAGAGAGGAGGGAGGAGAGATAGTGAGATCCGACTCCAAAGTTCATGGATGGAGCTGGCGCTAGCTCATGGAGGCCTTAAACCACGTGTTCAAAGGGAGTGGGGAGGAGAGAGACCGGAGAGAGTGATGAGCTGGAGAGGGAGCACCATATGAAGGGCTTGTTGCTGGAGAAAGAGAAATAGGAGGAGGACCACCGTATGAAGGGCTTGGCACCGGAGAAAGTGGAGTGGCGAGAGGAGGGCAAGGACCAGAGAGAGGGGGGAGAGAGTAGTATTTTTCATATTATAAAAGGAAAAAAATGGTGAAATCTACTGTTAAATATTTTATAATAAAAATGTTAAAAAAAATTAAATATAGGACCTACATTATGGGAAAATAATATAGGACCTTAATCCATATTTTAATTTCTTGTTTGTGTTCCATCTCCTCAAAAAGGTGATGTTTTAATTTAGTCTCAAATCAAAGAATTATACTGTGTATAAATAAATAAATATCAATAGCCGTGAGGAATCAAGTCAGAACTACGTAACAAACGGCAAAAATTGTTTACAAGTGTTGTAAAGTAGGAAAAGGAAAAGAAATTTCAAATGCCTGAAATGTCCAGGTAGACTTTGGGCAACATCATATTGCTTCATCCGTCACAGTACAATTTTTTTTCCTCCTTTCTACTTCTGATCTTTATTCTTAACCTTGTGCCTCGGTCACTTTGATCCATCAGATCCAGCGATCTGTCGGGAAAACATCCCAGTGGCTAATTTGACGGGCTTAATCTTTGAACTTCCCCTGAGCTATAGCCTATATTGTCGTCAAGAAAATCCCGAGTCTTCATTCAAGTGTCACTGCAAAGATCACTAGGATCATCTTTCTGAACTCGAATTGTAATCTTTCCGTCTTTCAGATGATTACAAGGACACGCCATAGCTATGAACTTGGGAACCTCATCTCCTGGCATCAGCACAGGCAAGCTCTGAACCTCGTTCTGCTTCATCGCCTGCAAAAAAAGAAGGAAAAAAAAATCAATGGGCGGTTTTGTTGTTTTCCTGGGTAGGGATAAGAGATGAAGTAATCATTATAAAAATGATAGTAAAAGGACGAGGTACCACAGGAAAGAGAGCAGGTTTCTGGGGGTGAGAGGAAGGTGAATCTGGAGATTGTGAGTGCGAGTGAGGATCGGTGGTGTGGACTAGGCCATGAGATCGAAGCAGAGCTAGAATCTTATCCCAGTGCAAGAAGCAGCAGAAGAAGCAGCAAATGAAGAAGAACAAGGCAAAGAGAAGGGCCAAACCCAGAGGAAACCCTATGGAGACTCTGGCCGACGATGACGTGTCCTCGACCTCCATCTCAGCTTTCTTCCCACTATGTCATGTGAAATGTTTGAAAGAGAGCATTAAATAAAAGAGAGCAAGGCAAGCTCCTTTACATTGATGGGGTTGTTGCTTGATGTGATGATGCTGCACTACGTGGTTAGTGGAGCTGTGTAAGTGTGACATATTTGTTTATTATTATTATTAGCTGTGTGAGTGGGTGGGGTGTTATCATGGTATGACATTGGCATGGTACAATCTCCGTTTAGTACGGAAAAGAAAAGGGATAGCTTTACATGTAGTTTCATGGGAAATCTTGCCTTACTCTCTAAGGTATGGCTTGTCTTGCTTGTTAAGATTTCCAGGGCCTAGTGGGTTGGAGGGGAAGAGCTCTGGGGAAGTTATTAGAGCAGAGTGTTTTACTATATATCAGAGACTCTAGACAATGGGATATTAAGCACCTTGATAATCAGCCAATTAGCAGGTTCCCTGTGTTCGGATTAAACTTTGCAAAAGAGGGAAGCAAACACAGTGGCTGAATGTAAAGCCAAACCTGTCATTTAAAGAGCATGGAAAGCATTAAATTTGTTTTCCTTACTTGTCCTCCTTGTTGGAGGTGCGTTTAGGAATTTCTGACTCTGATGCTGGCTAGTGGGTGGGTGTGTGAGCGTGTGAGAGAGACTTTGGACAAGCGCAGCTTTCACAAATGGCATGAAAAAAGAGCAAGTTTTTTTTTTTTTGTGATGATGAAGGAAAGTGACGAAGTGGTGTACTAGTGTTAAGCACGGCCACTTATAAAGCTCCTCCTTCCATGCAACATGCCTCTCCGTTAATATTGCGCCACCGCATCGTTTACTTTCATGAATCACAAATCATATCATATTTTACATAAATACCAGAAACGAGAGTTATTGCGGACTGTGTTCGTGCGTTTCGTAATAATCTCATCCTCATAGTCAATTAAACAAGCAATTTTCCATGTGCGGTGTATTTAAACGGGGATATAAAAATTAGGTCATTGTCTAGATGTCGAGTTTGGGACTCTGAGGTGGAATGCATTATTATTATTATTTTTTTGAACCTAAAGTTATCCATCCATCAGAAATAATTTCCCAACAATATATGCTCTTGCCAAAATGAGCTTTTTGGTAGTGCTACTTTCTATGGTCAGAATCCAGGAGCTTTCAACGCGCACGCCCACAGGTCAAAGAGACCCACGCTCTTACGCTTCACGGAGTTCTAACCTTGGATTTCAATCGGGCTAATATGTTGGGAGAATGATACGCAAGGACTGTTGGGAGAGAAAAATAGTATTGAAAGACCACGAATTTGTAAAATGACAATGAAGGACTAAGGTTTTTTTTTTTTAAAAAAAGAGAATCACATTTAATGACTAATCAAACAAATTATTCACAAATAAAGATAAATATAAAATTAGTTATTTTTAGACTAGGAACATAAATATTATTTTAAATAAGACTTGTTGTCAATCTTTATTTATGAATAATTTGTTGGATTGATTTTTGAATGTGATTCTCCCTAAAAAAATTGTAAATGGATAAAATGCCCCTCATATGATCATTAGCATGTATCATACACAGCTTAGTTGCAAATCTCCAAAAAAACAAAAATGGAAATATGTTGTAATCTGGAAAAAAAAACTAATTAATATCCTTAAAAGTCAATTAGTTGCAAATGAAAAACAAAAAAATCGTTGAAAACTTCTACCGCAGTTCAAATTAAATTTATTTGAAGTCAATCTTTTAGTGTCTACAATTGAGATTTGAGAATGTATAAAGCTTTTACAATTTGTGTAACATTGGACTTGGGCTAACGTGTGAACAAGTCCCTCATTAGCTCAAGCCAGGTTTGTCGTCTATCACGTTCAGTCATCCTCTATCGGTAACTATTGATAAAATTAGAGAGCTTGCAATGAAAAATTCGATAGTGATTCGATTACATCTTCAAAAACTAAAAACTAATAAATACATTGATATGCTTGCAAACCAAGCATCTCAAGACAATTTAAATCTTCTTATTTTTAGTCAACCACCTTTAAAGAGAATTCTCTCATGCATCGTGGCATATTAAAAATGATTTTAATATAAATAAAAATAGATATAAAAGTAAAGATGAATATGGATATAAGGTTTAAAAATATGTTTGAGATGTTCACGGAATTGAGATATTATTTTTGTTTCATATAAATATTTAAAATATGAAAAATCTAAAATACCCTCATCCAAAAAAAGCTCCAATCCAGGTCGAAGGCCACCATGAACCTGTAACCATGAAATCAAGAAGAAGATCGTGAAATTTCAATTGAAAAACTCAAACATGGTTGCAAATCAAAGACATTGAAGATAGATTTGTTTGCACTTTCAAGAAAATCCTGCTACTCAATTTAAAAAAGATCCATTCCAAATCGAAAACAAGGATTGTAGATTTAGAAGACAATGGTTTATAGATTTGACATCTATGGACTGTTGTCTCTTCGTCATTGTTGGAAGTCTAGATTTAACATATAAACCTTATAATGTCCACTTTAATATTACTAATAATCACCACACAATTAGTAATTAGGAGTCACTAAGCTCCTAAACTTACCTTATAATCTAAGAAGGGTTAAAATTTAGTTTATAAAATTTTTAAATCATTTGGGATCCCAAAATCCTTTGAAACAATATTTGAACTCAAACTAATTAAGTTTTTAAACAACAGAAGCATGAAATAATCAAGAAATAAGTCACATAAGAAGAATAAGGGAACAAATTGCCAACTTTGGTACATACATTGCGGCTTAGGGACCATATGCTATAGCTTGTGGCATAAAGAATTCACTATAACCTCTATGCCATGTGTCATGATGCACATGATAGCTCACCTATGATGAACTTTTAACATACACCATTTTTATATACAAGATTCGATGGAAGTGATTTAAGTGCCCACATTAATCTCGTTTAATAGTCTAACTAATGGCAAAGTTTTGTTTTGATTCAACGGTTAATTTGAAAATTAAATACCTAGATGTATAAAATCATTATTGAAAGTGTTTTTCAAACATTCAAATGCCCAAAACCTAAGACTTATGCCGTTGACCTATTTTAAATTCAAAAGGACATCTTGCACCTGATTGAACAAGTTATAAAGTAATACAACATTAAAATCAAGATTTGGCCTCTCATTGCCCCAATTTCACATCAAATTGGGCATTTCATGAAATTCATTTTCTGGGCTAAATCATCTCACATGCATCAAAGACATACATTTGTAAACCTATTTAACATATTCCCTTAATGTTTTACCAAACATATCCAATAGGCTAAGATACCACACCTATATATATACATTAGTAATATTACAGACATGCATTAATACAACTAAGTGCTTATACTAATATTTTAGCTCTCATCACACGTATCCCATAATGAAATATGGGCTAACATATCAATGTCACATCATATAAGCACTGCACAAAACATATGCAATCCCTAGTTGGCAATGATATTTATAAAAAATAACTCAAAATATAAAAAGGCTTTACTATCAAGTAGGCTATAGCTACTCTCTACCTAGTTCTTTCCTTTGTTTCCTTTCTACTTCCAAAGTTACAAAATGATAACCATGAGGTGAGACAGAGTCTCAATAACTAGAATAATTCATATCATCAATTAACAAGTAAAATTATAAACAAGTAGTAGAGTAACATGATAAAATTAGATACTTGTACCATATAAGCTACAGAACACACATATACATTTGTCTATCTATCACTTGTATAACATCTATGATTACATTTTCATCTAAACTTCCATTACTTTCCAACTGAATTTTTAGGCTACCTCATGATCAATTCCTTAATAAGTTGACCTAAGCTCACCTTTAATGTAAGAACTATTCATCAAAAGGCGTTTTCAACTATTTTTAGACTATAGATTTTTCCTATTCATATAATTGGTGTGTTATATACTCCAATTCCCCGAACACCTTTTAGTTGATATAGAGTCACTCCGATCCATCAAATGCTTTTTAGTGAATACAAAGCCAATATCGACTATGAGCATCCCAAGGCACTAGCTTAATCATATAGATTTTCATTACCTTTTCAACTAAGATAAACTCCTACCTCTTACTCAATCATGCATTTACTAATGAAACACTAAGTATTTTCACATGCTCAAACACATCTAAGACCTCGCTTTCATTTAGATTGACAAATATATTTTTAAAAAAATTACATTACCTAACCTTTAGCATACATTTTAATTATGAACATTTTCTCAATTGAAGTTCTTTTACCCATTCTACACATTTTATAAACAATAACAAACACACACTTCACAAATAACTTGTAAGTAACTTTACAAGCTAAAAAATAATATGCATTTTTGATTGCCTTAACCCTTTTTACCAAAAAAGTTACTTGCGGTACAATGTTAGCTTCAATAGCCTCTTTAATCTTAAAGGTTCCAATTTACCAATATCTACAAGTCCAAACACTATAAGTTAGTTTCAAACTTAACAAAGGTACGATTTAAACAATCAAAATAGTATAAATTTCTAACCTTTATCATCGGACAATTCTAAGTCATAACCAATCTCCATAAGCTTCCTATAATTTCCACTAATCCCATTAATCTCAATATAAGGTTTTTACAACTTTAAACCTTTCACTTGAGGCTAGAACTCAACTAGTAACTACCAACTTAGTTGCAAATTGACTGCCAAGAACGTTATAAGGATCATTAGATTAGATAGCAACCTTCCATCAACTCTCAACCCAAAAGAAAATGGAGTGGATAAGGAGAGGAAGGAAGTTTTAGCTTACTTGGAAGATGAAAGTTTGAAATTAACTCTTAGATGCCCAAAATTTTTGCCCTACCAAAACCTTCCTTTTCTCCCCTTGCGCTCCCTATTTTCCCTTTTTTTCTCTCATTTTCAACCTTGACCACAACTTTTCTACTAAATTTCTGCATCATGCATCGCAGTGTGTGATACAATAAGCTAAATCTCACTTTAGCTCACCTATTTTAATCTAATCTGATCTAATTCTCATTTTAACTTGATCTTGAAGTTGACTAATGATCAAAATGTCAATCAACCATTCAAAAACATGCTTAATTTAACTAATCTGCTAACTTACTAATTTACCCCTTTAATTTGCTATTAAAATCTAGATTTAATACTTGGGACGTTATGAACCTCTTCTTCTTTCTTCTTGGCCATATCCAAAAGCACACGAGGCATCGTGATGCAAATCTCAAAGGTGCCAACTTGCTATTAAGCTTTAAAGGCTATTAAGCTTCAAAGGCATTGAAGATACTTGCTGTTATAAGGCATCGACTCGTTGTTAAGCTTCATATCACATGGCCTTGTGATGCAAAACCTAGAGCATGATGTCGGCAACATTAGGTTCTGAAGGTCACTATGTAGTTCACCAACAATAGGTGAAAGAGTGGTGGTAGCTAGGTGAAAGAAGGTTACAAATATCATAGATCTCACTTCTATAGAATTGATCAAAATTCTATGATCAATTCAAGCATTTTTGGTGGAATATAATTTCATGTGGAATTCATATTTGACATGCCAAACATGTTAAAACTTGATTTCCATCTTCAATTCCATTTCCATGGATCTGAATTCCACCAACTAAAGGAGAACTTAGAATCTGATATAACCTTGTTTTTGTATCTTTTCCAAGGTACTTTTTTGGTGGCCTTGTATTTAAAAAAAAAGCTTCCGAATGGTAAAGTATTGTTGAAAAATGTCGTCATTGCAGAAAAAATAAGGGGCCAAAAGAAAAGAGGCTGAAAGAACAACAAAGAACCATGTCTAAAGGGGATGAAGATAAGAAAATCAAACTTTTCCCTTCTTACATATACACTATTACAAGATAGGTTTTTAACAGTGGGTAAAAAATACTTTTAACAGTAATTTTATAACTGCTATTGTTTCAAGGGATGTTAAAAGTATGTAACTTTTAACAGCTATTGTCTAACTATTATTAAAAATAAACTTTCAATGTGTCTATGTCCGTTATTAAAAGTTGCTCGTGAAATTTTGTTTTGACAAAAAGAGAGGCACTCGTTGTTAAAAGTGTATCTTATTTTTTTTAATTTCCACTTTCATCAACAGGTGAGAGGCACCTGCTATTGAAAGTGTATATTTTTTTTATTTTTTTAATTATCTTTCAACAACCAGTGACATATGACATACTGTTGAAAGTTAACTTTTAATAGTGGGTGAAGTGTCACCCACTATTAAAAGTTTTAAATTTTATTTTATTTTAATTTTTTTAAGATTTTTGACATCTGATTAAATTAAATCTGGTGTTAAAATTTTTTTTACAACAGTTAAACTGATGTTGAAAGTTTTATATTAATTTTAAATATTATAAAAATAGCTTCTATTTTTAATGGCGGATGAGTTTTAATTGATATTTAAAGTCTTTTGTAAAAGATAAATTTTGCATCAGTGATATATGCAAGATATCATTGCCCGCCCCTTCATATACACAGCCTTTTGTCTACGAATTAAATCTCATAGCGTCAGACTTACGGAATATATATTCATGGGCAATTTTCTATCATTCATAAATTTCATCATCACATCCTCATGAACAGATAGAATTCAGTCACCCACGCAGCTTTTCAGTTTCCCTCCACATTATTAGATTGAAATACGTGCTTGGGGCAATCATTGGCATAGCAGTCCTTCTCACCACAGCCATTCGACCAAACATACGTATATGAGAGAGATGACTAATTAAAGCCAATGAAAACAGAAGGCATTTGTTGCTTCTATTCTGATGAAGAAACGATATCGACTACTTTCATGGATTCAGGAGAAAAGAATTTAGCTACATCTTTTACTTATAACCCTCTTTGGAATCAAATAATCATAAAGAACCCTTCTCCTACAGAAAACAAAAGTGCAGTAGTTGCTGTCTTTCCTTTCTTCACATTTCAATATTTTATTCTCACAAGTCACAAGCATCTCCCTCCGTATCCTGCGCTTCTAAATAACGCTTGCTTTATGTCTCCTGAACCAATTATTGTCCTCTGCTCCAATTCCTGTATTTCGTATATAGCAAATAAGATTATTATAATATAAATGTTATTGAGATGCTAAAGCAAGTTAAAAATAACATACATAAATGAATAAACCAAAGTAATAATGTACCTCTGAGCAAGAAGCCTGCATCGTAAAATCGTTGAAGCAGCTGATAACGCATTGCTGAATATCAAGCCCCAAAGCTTCCAGGGTGTTCACTGTAGATAGCAACAAGCCTGGCTTCCCTGCACAGCATATATCAACCCTCGTGTCCGCATTCCTTCTCTCCACATCAAACTGTGATGAATGAAATAATAAATAAGTTGGGATCTTTCATTAATGCAGATTTTAATTACGTCAAAGGATGTTGGTAGGTAATACTAGAAGAAAAAGTCCATACCTTCGGTGAATTTCTCACTATGATTTCATTTGGTTTCGCATCTTTCAAAACACCCACCACATTTGAATCCAAGTCTGTTTCTTGCTGCAAATTTTTAATCTTGTCCAGAAGTTCTTTCATGTAGTCTATCGTGTCTCCAAGTATAGATGTCCTATCCATCTGTAAAGATCAAGGAGCAAAAGCATGAATTAGCTCTGCAAAACGACAACAGTGGGATAATGCATTTGATGAAAATTTTGAGCATCGACTAATTGACTGACCGCCTTACCTTGCTAATCTTTGGGACAATAGATCTTAGCATGGAGAGACGATCATTTAGCCTCTTTCTTCGTCGTCTCTCGGCCATTAGATTCTTGGAGGGCTGTCCTAGAAGTTTCTTGGGTCGATTCTTTCTTTCCAAAGTACAAGTGCCCGTGTCAAAGACAGGCATTTCGACAGGGGAAGGGCTGATCGGCTCCATCTTACATGTCGTTTTGAGGTCCAAGCTCTGAAGCTCTTCTCCAAACAAGCCCTCCTCTTCCATCATGGATGACAAAGGGTTATGCTCTTCTTGAACCAGAAAAGGAGGGGTACTAAGTGAAGAATTGGTATCAAGAGTGGTGTAGGGTGATGAACCTATAATCTGGGGAGTCGAGAACTCATCAAGTAATGAGTTGTAGATTTCGTTGAAGCTACTGTAGTAATTGTAACTTTGAGGCACCTGTTGATCAGAGAAAGAATTTGGGAGAAGAGCAAGAGAGTTTGGATCAAAACAGTCCAAACTATTATGAGCATCAGGCAAGAAGAGTTGGTTTTCTTCATTTGGACTTGGAATCGTCTCCCATGCTTCTCTTCTTAGAGCCAGTAACTCCTCCAAGAAATCATGTTCAAACACCTCCATTTCTCCTCTTCTCCTTTTCCTTCTACTTCCTCTCTCTCTCTCTCTCTCTCTCTCTCTCTCTCTCTCTCTCTCTCTCGTCCTGTGTTTCTCTGGCTATCGAAATTAAATTGCCTTTTTTTTTTTTTAAAGCAAGGGAACAATTTGAGAACACGCAGGACCAAGCTGGAGAATTTATAGTGGCTCAGGGTAGCGTTTCTGCCAAATTGATGAATATTGTATGCATTGTATATTACGTATTATTTTGTTTCCATTAGCACCTATTGCCTAAGTCTGCAATGGAATCAGCTGCCTTTTTTAATCCCCCCTCTCTCTCTCTCGAGGAGGGATGATTTGATTTAGGTCTTTTTCACCGAAATCTGAGCGACCATCAACAAACTAATTGAATATTTAATTGACAGACTCAAAGACAACATTGACCCTCACATATGTATGGAGCCAAAAACGATGGAGTTAACTCTCATTAACCTTGACAGGTTCTTTGTATGTTAAAAGCTCTCAAACACATAAATAGTCAGGAAAGGAAGAAATTTTCTGAGTTGGGTCCCACGCTTGATTGCCTCCAAACTTTGGCTGAGCTCACAAATTCAAATGAGTTGGTGGTCTATTTTTGTTCTTTCTGCACTTCTGCCTCTCCTATCCATAATACTTTATATACAACTTGTCCATGCTATCCATATATATAAGAAAGAAAAAAATCTAGACAGATCTATTTGCATATCCTCCATATTTTAGTCTTCAAATAACTTCCATTCTCAACCCATCACACCTAGCTATAATAAGAAGATTATATATACATACTAATACCTACTCCCTCTGTTAAAAAATATAAAACATTTTTAATCGAATCTCACCCTTCAATAAAGTAGTTACTTACTTTTCAACTAACCCTCTCTTTTTATATTTACCCTTATTAAACATCCTATAATAAATATAAAGTCATTATCAATAGGAGTACTTTCGAAAAAAGGCAATAATTATACCTCAAAAGACTAAAAATGTCTTATATTTTTTAATATCTAACTCCTCAAAAAATGTCTTATATTTTTGAACGAAGGGAGTATAAATTAAAGAAATACACAAACATCAGCTTATCCAAAAAAATGTAAAGTATTTTTAATTAAATCTTACCCTCTAATAAAATTGTTGATTATTTTCAAACTAATAATATCTTTTTTTATTCACCCTTATTTAATAGGATATTTTATTTTAAAATAAATATATTTATTATGGGTACTTTTGAAAAAAAATTTTAATTATACTTTGAAATATAAAAATACCTTACAATTAATGTGAAAAGTTTTTAATAATTAAAATATAAATAAAAGAGAATAACTCATAAAATTGTGCCAAAAAAGTTTTAATTTAGGATAAAGTATCATTTCACTATTTTTACTCATTTGTTATCTCTCCGTTTTCGGATATCATTCCCCATTCAACAATATATATATATATATATATATATATATATAAATGTATAGTGTTTTGGCTTATGTATGTGGATTTTTCCATGTAACGAATAAGCAAACAGTATTGCAAGTCAATTCTGTAGATTTGTCTTTTGGCTCTTGTGTGTTGTGAAACCAATAGGATGGACAAGTTGTCTTGTTGTAGGGGCTCTCTGGTTTTTCCGTGTCTCATCAGCTTTAGTCGTTACCACAAAGTAGATGACAAGAAACACTGATTATCGTTGTTGTTGTTATTATAGCCGCTGTAATGGTAGCGGTTTTTCTTGGTTGTTAGGGTTTCAGTTTTCTAAGACCAACTACCACTTCAAGACATAGACCTTCGTATACTTACAAGTAAGGATCGTGTACTTGTTTGACTCCTCAGCGCCAACTGCCTAATTACGTTCTTCGACATCTTTGGCGCACTGTCTCTTAATTTGCACGTAAATGTGGACTACTCACAGAACCATTTCCTATTCACAAAAATAAAACACAAGTGATTTCATGATACATATACAGCCAAGTTTATTGTCCCATACTCCCTGATTTATTTGTATATGAAAGTTTATCCGACTACTAATTAATGGAAATTTTCTTATAATGGGACTATGGTTGTAGCCTTGTTATTGGATCAGAGGATTACAATGTTGTCTAGAATTACATTCTGGGGTTTCTCGGTGAAGAAAACGATTTTAATTAAGGTTCTGATAAAAATGCCATTCAAAGGAAAAGATCAAACCCAAATTCTATTCGTTTCCGGGGATAATTTCAACCTATGAGGAATCTGAGCCGCGTGCTATGGATCGGTAGGCTTCCCTTAACAAAAATTCATTTCTATATGTAATTAATATAATGCCAACCAATGTCCGTATTATACTACAACCAAAAAATAAAATAAGGGGGGTTTTTTCTTTTTTCCCTTTCGTTTTTCATATTTTCAAATCATGATCATCTTTTGAGAATCTATCCCACATGCTGTCTACGACTCCTTTTCATAGCTTATCCCAACCGTACTGGTGTGTAAAAATGGGCACTTTGCTTACGAATATCACGTACGTGGGGTTGAGTCTATGTACGTACTCATCTAGCTGACATGTGAAAATGGCTTCATAAATTCCGGACGTAAAAAAATGTTTAGGTAGAATGTGAGCAGACAGGAATCAAACTAGCTATATATAATACATATAACTGCATTTTTGTTCAGCGTAGTAAACATAGAGTAAAAGAATATCATCCCGATAGTTGTGCATCGTCTATAAACAGTAAAAGAGCACCCCTACCTCAAAACGTTCCACTGCCTATTTAAATAATGAATATCGTACAAGCAAACGAGCCCTTAAGTGTCCAATATGAGTTATTGTTGTTTGTTTACGGATAAAATATGAGGCCAGGCAAGAAATGAAAAACAAGGGAAGCCGTGCAAATAATTAATCATATACTCCCTTTAATTTTATTTCTAAGTCACATTTTAAAAGGTTCACTTAATTTTATATATAACTCACGGTATTACTTTTTGGATAATAATTTAAAAGTATTTTTTAAATTACCTTTTATGAAAAAGAAAAGGTAATATGACATCACTTTTTAAATTTATTATATAAGAACATATCTAAAATTTTACATACTTTTATTCTTTTTACTCTTTTATATTGATATTAATGAGATTGGTAAGAATTATTTCTAAAAAAAATTGGAGAAATGGATCATAACATACAAGGATATTACACAAAAAGTTGGAAAAGACTACGACGTAATTAGATACGAACTTGTTTTTCTAGAATTTCAACGCTTAATGTATAGGAAAAATGACAATAAAATTTTTTTAAATTATATAAATGATAATTTAATTTTTAAAATATCATAATATCAATGAAGTCTTTAGAGATCTCTTTGTCAATAAACTTTTTAGGAAAAAGATAATTTCACTCTTACTAACAATAACAAGATTCAATCACAATTTTTATTTAGGAAATAACAATTTTTATTTTGTAAATTATAAAAATTAAATAAAAAATCATAACTTGTCAATTGTAATTTCTCTTATTGAAAAATAATTTTCAATTATAATTTTTTTAAGGAATAATAATTTTTGTTCTATGAATCATAAGAATTAAATAAAAAATTATAATTTATCAAGTATAATTTCTATTATTAAAAAATAAGTTCTCAAATTAAAAAACTCTATTCACAGTTTTTATTTAAAAAATTATAACTTTTTTTAAAGAATCACAAGAATTAAACAAGAAATCATCATTTTTCAATAAAGGTAAAACGGCTTTTTTCCTAAAAAAGTTATTGACAAAAAAAATATCTAAGAATTTTATTGATATTATGACATTTTGAATGATTAAATTATTATTTACATAATTAAAAGAGATTTATTATAGTTTTTCCTAATATATAAGAGAATTCATTATTTAAAAAAAAAAAAAAAACCGAAAGTGGGAAGTTGCCTCGGTTTCCCATGAGTCACGAGTTGCAACTTTTCTTAGTTTGAAACTTCTGTAAATAATGGTTACTGCGTCTCGTCTAATTCATATTAGCTCGTAGCTTCCTGCGAATTTTCCTCAGCAGCCAGCGACATTATTTGCTGTGAATGATAAAAATGGAAAAGTTAATTAGAGCTGTTACACTTGATTTCAATTTTCAAAAATAAAAAAAAATCATTTGAACAAATATTTTGAATTTAGCTGTTTTAAAAAATGTTCTCGTTTTTTATTTAAAAAATATAAACATCTTAAAACTGTTTTTATTTTATTTTTATTTTTAAAATAAATTATGTTTAATTATTGAAAACTATTGTCACCTTAACCAATCATTATAATAACCCACCACCACCGTTGACCATTTAACTGCCAATGCCAATAACCATCACTGTCATTCAATTTTTAATTTTAAAATTGTTTTTGAATTAAATCAAAACAAACATTCTATTTTTATTTTGTTTTCAAAATAATTTTAAAACTATATTGCAAAATATTTTTTAAAAATAAAAATAATTCAAACCAATCACACCAGATTAAATCAAACTAAACTGACATGAGCCAATCAAAATTAATTATAAATAAAGTTTGGTTTTATTCTTTTGGCAAAGCTAATTAGTTCGATTTGGCTCAAGATTCAATTATATATATTTTTATAATTTTGCCAAAGCTTTTTCCCTTTTTAAAATTTAGTTATTTGTGATCACAACTAGTTAAATGTTATTTATAATTGATTTAGTTAATTTTTAAATTTTATAATCAACTGTTCTAAAGATAATACATTGATTTTTAATTGTTTAATATCTTAATGAATTGTTAAAAAAATATTCTTTTATGCTCAAGAAATTTTTTATTGCAAATAATAATTAATAGCTAAAGATTATAAGTGAACATGAATATATATTGGTGATTATAAACAATATCTCATTAAAAAAATTTAAACTTGATTCAAACCTAAACCAAACTGTTCAAAAACCAAACTAAATAGATTAGGAAAAAAACGAATAGGTCTCAAAGCCAAACTGAAACAAATCTGCAAACACCCTTATTTCATAGCATTCATTCTCTATTCATCTTAATTACTTTATTAGGTGCATGATGTATATACACTGTAATGGACTTGATAACAAAAATTAAAATTCATATTTTTTATTATAATTCTTTAATAATTTTGAAATTTTTTTTATCC